ACTTTACCATCATTTCACTACCTTATTGGTCCAACTTTTTGACCAGAATTTTTTTTAAGCCTGTATTATAGAAAGTGCTTAATAGGAAGGGAATTGTATACCCTGCCATTGGCATGTAGAAAGATCATTCATTTTAATATTTAAAGCTCGAATAGTAACTTTGCTTGTGCCTAAGATTCTAACATCAGTTAAATAGCAAGAAGGGCGTGAAGAAAACTGGTCAGGTCTGGCCTCACGTGGACACCAAGTTTCTATTTCACTTCGGTCTTGATTGGGTGCTGTGGAATGTCACCCTCATCCCTAGGGCAACAACACTCCAAATGCCATGGGCCTTCTTTAGTGGCCCCCTCAAAAGCCACCATACAAAAACAGTGTCCGAAAAAAGGGGGCTCTGGTGTCAATAGTTCAGAAAAAGCAATCTTTTTCTATTTCATGAATTTTGTTTTACTTTATAGAGTGAATAAATATACATTTTACCAAAGCAAAAACTGGATTCAATACAGAAGAAGAAGACCCTTCCTTCCCTACACTACCTCCCTTTCCTAACTCGTTGTTCTACCTGGACTGTCCTATGCCATCGGTGAAATGTCAAAAATGACTTGTCCAAATCCATGAAACCGTTCCTTTTGTAAGAGGAGATAAAGCAGACACAAGGAGGTGACAGTCAGGATGCGACACAGCCAGATCCGGGTGGGAGGCATCTGATAGAAGGGGAGCGTTTCAGAGACATTACAAAGATTGTCGCATATAGGGGTGGGACTGGAGGTGAGGGACAAGAAGGAGCCGGGGCTGGCTTACACCATGGTCAGTGTACAGATACACACATGCTGCCAAGCACACGTGCACAGGCTTCGAATCCTCTGATGAAATTCTCCCCGGGTTGTCCATTCCTCTGCCACTGGACAGAGCTCTGGATTGCCAACCAGCCTCCCCTAGCCCTGGACCTGAGTGTCCGCTTCGGGCAGGCCTCTAATCATTGTGTTTCCTTTCTGCTCTGCTGCCCTCCGATGTAGCACCATTCTCCTGGGCGTTCCTGTTTCCAAGTGCAGAGATACTTGTTTAAAGGATGGGCACCCCGACGGCTTGCTCTTAGTGATGTGTACGGCAGCCTCCTCGGGGCAAGGATGTACTATGGTCAAGTACTTTTCTTTCTGTCCCTTCTGCCTCCCCCCAAGGCCAAGTTGGTAAAATTTTTTTGCTGTGTAAAGGGAGCATTCGGGCACCTTTTCTGCTCTGCTGGTGTGTGTAGGGCTATTTTTATTTTGTGTTCTTTGCTGGTTTTCTGTGCTTGTGATTTGAAAGGTGCCAGACTGACTCCCCTCGAGGCCAAGAATAGGAAACCAACACGGGGCTGGAGGCAGCAGACCGGGTCGTGTCTGGGTCCGGCGCAGTCGTCTGACCCGCTCTGAAGAATATTCTCCACGGTAGAAGAGAAGCTTGTTTCTGACTTGTTTCGTCCATGTGTTCCCGTAGCTGAGAAGACCAGACCTTGCTGTGCCAGTACGAAATCAGTGCAGGGTTTTATGGTCTAGCAAATCACCACTACTCACTCCCCCTTAGAGAAACCAGGTTATCTGCTTCTCTTGCATCTCTACTTGCTCACATTCCATCCCATGTTTGAGCCTATTGTTGACGCGACTGTGTCAATCCATCTCGTTGAGGGTCTCCGTTTTTCACTGACCCTCCTCTTTACCGAGCATGTTGGTAAAGCCCTTTGTCCAGGACTGGTCTCTCATGATAACATGTGCCAAGTCTATGAGACACAGTCTTTTCTTTTCTTTT